CCGCTAGCGCCCACGCCGAAAAACCATCGCCTGATGCTGGTGGTGCTGCTAGGACTGCCACGTAACCTGATCGTGCTGGAAGACGTCCGGCTAACGCGTAATAACCTGTTGACGAGCTTAGCCAGCTTGGGCGGTGCTAACCCGCCGATACCGGCGCCCCAAGCCTCACAACTGTTTCTCCAGCTGACAGTGGCTCCTACACTCCCGGAACCACCACCCACTACCGAGAATAGTGCCTCAAACAAACGATTTACTGGCACCGACCAAACTCCCACTGACGACGCTAATGGCGGCGCTCGCGACCCGCTACGGGAATTACCTGTCCAACTATTCTTCTCTGACGATGATCTGGAGCTAGAGACGCCGCTGAGACTTAAGCGACCCGTGATAACTCCCAAATGGGGTAGTCTCGGTAACCCTTATACCAGTTCCCCCGTATTCAACGATGTGGCCACCAAACCGACCCTGCTGGCTCTTTTCGATACCACGGGCCCTCGCCGAGACCGGGTGACGCTGCCCATTGCCCTTGCGACAGCTGAAACCCCGCTGAGGCGGCTGCTGTTTAGTGGGGCGGATGACGCCATGCTCCCCCCGTTAGCGGTGAAAAAGCGCACCAAGGCACAAACAAAACACACCATCCAGCAGCTGTTGATGAAACGCAAGCTCATCCACTCCAAGGACCTCCAAGTAGAGCTTGGGGTGACGTCACCCATCGAGACTAAGTTCATCACTACCGCAGTGCTGGATCTGGGCAAACGCACCTATTTAAAACAGCCAGTGCTCCAACTGCTTACCCTGAAGAATAAGTTGATTCAGCAGCTTAACCAGCGGTGGAACCGTGCTGGCGACGATGATAAACAACGCAGACTAGACGACCCCGAAAGAGTACCGGCACGCTACCGCCGCAAGCGCCGGTGGCTGGACGACGAGCTGAGCTTGGCAAGCACCGACGGCGACGTCGACGACTTCCCCGCCTATGATGATGTTAACGACTTTTTGTGAGAAAATCGCATACCTGTAATATAGGTCACTGTCCATCAATGTGAAGAGGATGGACAGGTGGCCGAGTACATTGTAATTTATTGGATCAATTCGGATAGTAATTTAAGGAATTAATATATATAAAGTAATGGAATATGACGGATAGGAATTTAGAGATGAAATACACCTAGTTGATGAGGTGATGAGATCAGAGTTACTCCCTACTTAAGTGTTAACCACTCACCAAGACAAGTTTGAAGTTACGTTAAGTATCTAACAGAAGACTGAGTTATTTATTGATCAGATTCAATCATTTTTTCCTCTCCAACTCTGCCATTTCTTCCCCTCGATGGTGGAGCTTATCGCACTCATCGCGCACGTACCAAAGGGTGTTTGGCAGCGCTACGATCATGCTTTCCGAAAATGCCCAGCGGCTCCACGAGCGGATGTCGGAGCTGGCGAGCTCGACGCTCTTCACCACCCAGGAGCTCAAGCACTTGATCCACGTGCTGAGCGACCTCGAGTTGCTCCAGATCTCCCAGGAGTTGGTCAACAACTCCCTCGTCAAGTTGATCAAACAGGGCGATGAACTCAAGTTCCAGGCGATCCTGACCCTGGAAGCCAGCAAGATCAAGAACATGACGGGAGACGACGCCATGGTGTATCAGCACATCGAAGCGCTGGGGCGTGAAGGGATCTGGACCAAGACGTTAAAGGCCAAGACCAATTTGCACCAACACATCGTCAACAAATGTCTTAAACTGTTGGAAAGTCAACGGTATATCAAGCTGGTAAAGCTGGTAAAGCACCCGACACGAAAGATCTACATGTTGTACAATTTACAGCCGCTGACTGATGTCACTGGTGGGCCGTGGTTTACTGACTCTGAACTCGATACTGAGTTTATTGATTCCCTTTTGCTGTTAATCTGGCGGTACGTAGCTCTGCGGTCGTTCCCACAAGCGTTTCAAAAGCCGCTGGCGTCGACTAATATGTTCCAGACCCTGATGGCGGACCTGGTGGTGCCCCTCGACGACATTATGAGCTTCATTCGCGATAACCGCGTCACCAACATCGATTTGCTGAAGAGTGATATCCGTGATTTGTGTGATGTGCTTGTATTTGATGATAAATTGGAACCGGTAAAGCACGAAGATGAGAAGTTTAGAGCTACCTGGCAGCTGGTGCGGGAAGCCGGGTTCGGCAAACAGTGGCAAGACGAACAGTACCTGGATCGTGTTGACCAGCAGTTTAAAGACGAGCTTTTGGGGCGGCCATTCCTGATTTTTGAATGGTACAACGCCGAACCCGTGGGCGAGCCCGAAGACACGGTGTATTTAGATTCATGGGTCCACAGCTAGGCTACAGCGAGGAGCCTCAGTCATATATTAATGCTATAATAACGTTTGGTATTGGGGATTTGGTAGCAGAAATACACCGCGGCGAGCCAGAAGGCCGAGGTGACGGTGGCCTCGATGAGACGCACCACCAGCACGAGAGCAGCACAGCTGACGGCGACTAGCACCGTCGAGTGGAGGTTGAGCGTCATCGGCGCCGTCAGAGGGGTGAGCATTGGTGGCGTGGGGTGTGGGGTAGGGATCACCGGCCTAAGATGGCTTATGTGGCGGAGTGCCGCAAAAGTGATCTGGACAGTACTTGGCGATGACAAGATAGAGCAGTTGTAGAGTGAAATTTCGAATAAAAATGATAGAGGTAGTTAGGTTGTGTTTCAGGTGACCGTGCTCTGCTTTTGAGATAGAGTTAACTACAGTAATGAGGATATTTAGAATAGGGGCCGCTAACAGACTAAATATAGAAACGGCACTCGAAACTCATCTTGAGGTTTATTAAACATAATAGTATTGTCTCAGTCTCGGATTACTCCTTTTCATTTACTCTCTTTTTACTTATTTCTTCAATAATAATGAAGTCTTCTCCATGGTGTCTTGCCTGCACATGCTCTTGAATCCCCGGTTGTTAACCACGCATACTATACACATACACATACGCCATGACAGAGCCGTCGCCCCCGCCCCAGAAAAAGACTCTGCGCCGAAGAGCCCTCCAAGAATTTTATAACATCGACAAGAAGGAGCTGCTGAGCGAGTCGGTGGTGGCCGAACTGACCCCTGACCCCGACCCTGACCCGATACCTACCATAGACGATATCGACACTTTCGTCAAAACCAAGCCCATCCAGGAGATATTGGCCACTCGAAATCGCATCGCCGGTCGTCTCAACAGCCAGGAGAGTCAGAAGAAGAGCATCATCTACGACAATTACTACGAGCTTATCAAATTAAGCCAGACACTAGCCACGCTTGAGAAACCCCTGACCAAGCGGCAAAACGATCTTCTGGTGACGTTAGATAATGCCGAGGTCGACGACGGATACATGGACCGCACGTTTGCTAGTCTCCAGCAGTTTGTAAACGCGTCACCTATCCTTGGAAAACCGTTTGGAGACGTCGCCGATAATGTCAGCCAAAGCGAGGCCCGTGCCAGTGTGGTGGCCATTGCCGAGGAAGTTGAACCCAACCAGGAGTTGGCTGATGACATTCTGGCATTATTGGCTTATAAGGAAGACAAGGAGCTCGCTGATGCCGTTGGTAGTTTGCAAGCCAAAAGCGATGTGCTTCGCTATGAACTTTCACAGCTCTCTAAACGCCTCGATGGACGCGACAAGGTAATTCCCAATTGAGCTGTTACCCTCTGTAATACTATAGCATTTAATAACTAATTCACTATTTTACAAGTCGTCGACAGAATGGGGTTTAAACTTACGTCCCAGGCGTTCCACCAGGCGTACTTCAAAGCGTGACCCGTAAATGACAAACGAGTACACCTCGACGTCCTTATTCAACACGTCCAACTCAAATATCGTCCCCTTCTTGGGGATCATTCGCAACCCGCCTACCCGCTCCAGGCGGCTAAACAGGTCACTTTCCAGACTCCATGGTTTAGCATCAGCTCCTCGAGGCACCACCATCACAAACAGATGTTGGGAATCCCATACAACAATCCCTCGGACCCCCACGAGTTCGGGGTTAGCCGCTTTGGTGACGGAAAGCAAACACCCATGGAAATCGGCCAGCAGAAGTCGTTGAAGCGCCATGCTTTCGTTATATTTGCCATTCTCCTTGATTAAATCACTAGCGTATCCTTGCCATAAGTTATTCATCGGTAGAAACTCCTCAAAAGTGGGGATCTTGTACTTCCTCAATGTCGCCACGTCCACGGGCTGGTCTCGCTGAAGCAGGCGACACAATCGCAGCTGGGCAGCCAAGGTTCGAGTAATGTACAGTTTCACCAGCGTTCGGGCATTGACCCGACGTTTTTTGGCTTGTTTGTCGCCAATTTTGTGGATGGAGACGGCTTCAGTAGCCCCTCGAGTCTGGAGCCCTCCAAACACGAGCACGGGTTTCTGAGACCCATGGTGGGAATACCGGTTATCTAGAAGATCCTCAATCTCCTCGGGATCCTCATAGCTTCGGCTAAGAAGATGCCGCTCGAGCTCATTTTCACTCAGCATCACGCAGGCCCGCTGATCACCGCGATGAGCGTCGCGATAGAGGGTTGTAAATGAATTATGAAAGAATACTGATTGAACTTAATTAAGCTAAACTTCTATAGAGGACTTATTAATAATGCTGGAATTTCTTTCCTATTAAGTGTCTCTTGAATTAGATAGGATTCTATAAAGGGTATCAACTGAGTAGATTAGCGATCGACGGTTTCTGCGTGGCTCCGTCCGATCTCTCATCCTCTGGAGATGCTTCGGACTTCAACTCGGTATTAGTTTGTGGCAGTTGGTTAGCAATCGTCTCTCCATTAGTAGCCTGATCCTCTTTATCCTCAGGCTTATCATCAATATCCATAGGCGCAGAGTCATTGTTATCACTTGGTTGAGACTCCACTGGCTTTTCAGGCTCAGCCCCTGTATTATTTGATTTGATATCTTCAGCTTTACCGTCGGCTTTACCTTCAACTTCAGTGTTGGCATCGGCCATCACGATATCACCATTTGATTCCTTCTTAGTGGTTTCGGGTATGACTCCCTCATTCTCGTATATGCTTACCAGATACTGCTGGAGCTTTTGGGTCACTTCGTTCTCTAGTTTCCTTTTAGTTTCAGCCTTACGCTCCAGCAGCACGTAAGCTTCATCGAACAAAAGGCCAAGCCAGCCATTGTGAATGCATCGCCTGCGATCATTAAGACAAACTGAATCGACCTTGAGTTGTCCTTCCTCATCAACAATCTCTGTTTCGTCGCGGTTGTAACCACAGATATCGCTTTTCTTCCCTTTCACTTTGTGTGCTTCGTTGTACAGCTTGATCGCGTCTTTGATGCGATTGTACTGCAGCACCTCTGCCTTTATTGATTCCTGCTCGGACGTAAGTTTTGTGATTTGTTTTGATATATTTGAGAGTTCATCAGCGAGGTCAGGGGGAAGCTGAGATAAGTCACCTTGGTGGTATGCGATAACTGCAGGAGGTTCAGGTAAGTTTTGGCCAAGCTTAGTCAAGTGCTCGTACGACTCTACCAGATTCACGATTTTCTTGATATCTGCCAGCTGCTCCAAGGCTTCACGTATGTAAATGAGCCCATGTTCTTTGGAGCAGTACTTTGAGTCAACCACGGGGTTGAAGCACCAACTGAGCCGGCACTTACGTTTCCATTTGCTCACTCCGACCCCTCTATGCTCACAAAATTGACAATAGAACTTGTGGACTAGCAGCTGCCATTCGTTCTTGAGGTGGAGACACCGAAAGTGGAACCAGTTCTCGCACCCGTCACAACAGATCATGAGCTGTCCTTTATCAGGTTTGCGACATATACAATAGAGCTCTTCGCCGTATTGATTGAATTTCGGAGCCGCCTGGTAGCGGGCGTACTCCTCATCTATTGTCATTGCCGGTGTGTGTGGGGAGGTTGACGCCGCACGCGATGATGCTCAAAAGTTCCAGTCGCGTTCCTCTCGACGTGTGACACCGTGATATCCAAAATGGCGTTCGGCTTATGTGATTTCCACACATTTCGATGGGTCTAATTCAAGCTACCAGGGTGTCGCCAATCTATTCTATCATGAATTAGTTAGGATTTATTGCCTTGACAATCGAAACTTTCACTTATTTTGTGTGAACTAATGTCTACGCAGTAACGCAGTAATCTAGCTCATCGAACCAGCGATACTTCTGATCAACGCTATAGAGTTTGAAACAAAACAAAGATGCATTTCATTCGATCATCAGAAACCTCTCATTGGTCGACACGGTCATCACAAGTACAATGTTACCAACTCTATCAGATCAAAACCTCAACGTGGAGAAACTGAAAGAGTCGACACTGTTCCATCAAATATGGGTTCAAACGACAAAATTGCAGCATTGAATAAAGCAAAAAGAAAGCTGCGCAAACCCGGAATCGAACCGGGGGCCCAACGATGGCAACGTTGGATTTTACCACTAAACCATTTGCGCTTATACGAAATGTCGACCTTGAGAGTCGGAGTTGTGAAGAGCTCACTCCGGAAGTCAATGGAACCTGAGAGAAGGTTGACGAGAGTCAAGGAGTGTTCGAGATCAAGCATGCAAGGAGTCATGAGCATGACTGGAGCATGCGTGGAAGGTTCCACAGTGGCGTTTGATCGAGCTGAGCGTCACAGTAGAACGGGCATGTCGGTATCATGGACGTTCAATCGATACATTTCATTGGCTCTTGATAACGGTGGTGTCTAGTTGTGTCTGTTCATGGTCACGCCAAGACACATGGTCTATGCAAAGTAGATGAACTACTGCAAACTCAAAATCTATTAAGCTTCGTGCGCATAAGCATTGATGACGGAGCCTACACCGAAAGTATACTTCTTAAGTAACTGCAGTTCTAGCCGTTCTGCCAAGCACCAAGATTTTTGACAGAGAGCTGTAGTTTACGTCACCTGAAATTTGACATCCGACAGAAAACGCCGTCTTCTCTGGGTGTCGCTTAACCCCTCCTATGATAATAAAACCTCTGTTATCGTGCTCTTGATGAATCAATACGTCACCAAACTGAATCAGCAACCGATGCTCCACATGGATGACGAGTGGGTGAACTTCCAGGAGTTCAGTGATGGCCTGCGCGAATCTGTCAACAATGTGGAGGTAAACGATGACCACAACGCTCGTGAAGAGCCTCCCACAATTCAGGTCGTACTTACAGGGATCAAGCGGCTCGGGTCGCTGAGCTTGACGGGTACCTTCTACTCGATTTTGCTTTCTAACTTGCCTTTGTACAGTGTGGACGACATTCGCAAGTTGATTGTACTGAACGTCAAAGTAAACCTTCCTCCACACACCCACATAAATCTTGATGTGGTGCCCGGAGATGGTACTCATGACGGGGCGTGTATTGTGTCGGTATCTGATGTGAATGTTGCTGTGTGCTTGGTACGCTGCTTCAATGGGTTGATGCTCAACAACCACACCATCGATGCTAGATTTATTCCGCCTCCAACTACTGACGCTTCAATGAACTCTGTTGACGCTGCACCGATTGTGGTGAATCCCAAGCCGGATTGGGCTAGCAAGGCTAGCACGCACCGTGTGTTTATTGGGAATCTCCCATACGACAGCAAGTTCTCTCAGTTGAAAGACTTTATGGTGAAGACATACGGCATTGAGTTTGTTCCCACGATTAACAACATCGAGATTCCTGTGAAAGACCAATGGCTGAACAGCCACTTAGCAAGTGAACCGGCATGTACCCGAGGTTTCGTAGTGATAGACTTGGGCGACGAAACTGAAGCGGCGGAAATGATTGTGATGCTTAACGGTAAGCAGTTTATGGGTCGACCATTATGGGTTCACTACGACCAGCACCCCATAAAGTACCCCAAGGGTAAGGTGGTGAGATCTTTTGGGTGGCAAGGGGGGCCTCCAGTGACGTACATATACCCCAAGCCGTACCCTCATTATAACCACAACGTTCATCAGGCGCCTAAACTGGTCCAAATAAAGCCATTGAACGCGGAACACGCGACCCCATCACGCAGTTTTTAGTCTTGAGAAAACAGCTACTTGTTTCAAACGCCAGATTCGGTTCTATAGTGTAGTGGTTATCACTTTCGGTTTTGATCCGAACAACCCCGGTTCGAATCCGGGTAGGACCTCTTTTTGCTTCGTCGCTCTTTTAACTTTGAACTTGGACTAAACAACAACCTATTATATTTTTCTTGTTTTTTTGTTACTGTTCATCTCTACAAGTTGATTATTATCTTGATACTGTATTAGTTGCAAACTTGGTATAATATACAATGCTAGGTAATCGCCCTGCGATTACATCAACAACACCACCCCCCAGGCGACGACGGCCAAAGTGGACATCACCGTCTTACGTGCCCCGTTTTCAGGCTGCGGGGCCACCAGCGGCGCCGAGCGTTCTACCACGGCATCGACGTCAAGATCTTTAGCGACCAATTGCGTGCCATTGGTCAAGTCAGTCAAGTCAGCCACCAGCGAGGTGGAGATCACTGAGTCCGATTTGAGCGTGTTTGAGGGCTCGAGCAATTCAGAGATGGGAGCGCTGGTAGAAACGTCAGCAGATTCAGTAGCCAGCAAGCTAGCCAGTTCAATTACCAGCGAGAGCTCGGAGGCAAGGTCGGAGGCGGAGGCAGAGCCCGAAGTCAAGCTCACCAGCAACGAAGTGGGGATAAGCAAGTCCAGTTCGGAGTCAGTAACACTGGAGTTGCCAATGTGGATCCGAGTCAGCGAAGTAGGTTCAGCCTTAGTAGCCGTCTTGGAAGAGTTGGTCTTGATGGTGTTGTTGCCGTAGTGACCAAACGAGGAGCCAGTGTCGTCTTCGTCTTCGTCGTCACATTCGTCAGTGCTGCCACCGTTAGAACCATGGCTACCACCACTAGAGCTGCCGCCGCCTTGCTGTTGTTCTTCATCACACACACAACCGGGGTCGCAGTCCTCGTCGTCGTTGCCGCCACCGAAGGGCCAGCCCGAGTTGTTGTCGTCTTCTTCAGTGCAGTCACAGTCGAGCTCGCAAGTGTCCGAGGAGCCACCGTTGCCGGTGGTGACGTCTTCGCAGTCGTCAGATTGACCACCCCAGTTCCAGCCGCTGTTGCCGCTACCACCGTTGCTGCTGCCACCGTTGCTGCTGCCACCGTTGCCGGGGCTCTTGTCGCCTGAGCCAGAACCAGAGCCAGAACCCCAGTTAGAGCCAGAGCCGGAGCCACCGTTGTTAGAAGAGCCAGAGCCACCGTTTGTGGGAGCGGGACCAGGGACAGTGTAGTCTTCGCAGTCTTCTTCCGAGCCCTGGTCGCCTTGGCCCCACCACAGACCACCGCCGTTGTTGTTCGAAGAACCACCACCGTTGTTCAGGCCACCGGTAACTTGAGGAGGCAACTGGTCAATGGGACAGGTGGTGGTGTAGATGGTGACAATGGGACGGTTGTGGCACCCTTGGTTGTCGCAGTAGATGGTAGTAGTGGTAGTCCAGTACGACGTGGTGATGATAGTGACTTCAGGACAGTCTTCTTCATCGGAACCACCATCGACGTTACCGTTGTTACCGCTGTTACCGCCGTTAGTGGGTTGAGGCGAGCCGTTGCCACCGTTGGTAGGTTGAGGGTTACCGCCGTTGCCACCATTGGTAGGTTGAGGGTTGCCACCGTTACCGCCATTCGTAGGTTTAGGGTTACCGCCGTTACCGCCGTTAGTCGGTTGGGGAGGAACAGTGGTTTCTTCGCAGTATTCTTCTTCTTCGTCAGAGGTAGCATCCACCACGCCCTTGTCCAGAGAACCCTCGGTGGGGACGGAGTGAATGCCGGAGCCCGAGGGGATGGGAATAGGCAGCAGAGTCACTTCCTCGTTGCCGGTCTCTTCCGCCACGGTGCCCAGAGGCAGCGATTTGGGAGGAGGGCCGGTGGTAGTAAGCAGAGGCACCTCGGTGAGGGGGCTGCCAGTGGGTTCACCGCTAGTAGACGATTCGTCGCAGTATTCGTCTTCTTCGCTACCAGTGGATTCAAAAATGCCCAGGCCCAGCGAGTTACCCGAGGGGATAGGGATCCCGGAGATTGAAGTAGGAAGCGGGATACCAGAGACCGACGAGTTGCCGCCAGTGGGGAAGGGATTGACGATGTCCAGAGAGACCGACGAGTTGCCGCCAGTGGGGAAGGGAATGACGATGTCCAGAGAGCCCGAGGGGGTAGGAACCAGTAATTCCGAGTCGGTCGGGAGAGAGTCCAGAGTGGGGAGGACAATGGGGTTCAGAGTGGGGAGGACAATGGAGTCCAGCAGCAAGTCGATGATGTGATCGGTCAGCAGCTCGTCGCAGTACTCGTCTTCTTCCGAGGACGACGAAGTCAGGTTGCCGCCGCTAGTGGGCAACAAGTTGCTAGTGGGCAACAAGTCGCTGGTGGGCAACAAGTCGGTGTTGGAGCCACTGGTCACGATCAGCAGCGACGAGTTTGTGGGAGGGAACAAGTCGCTGAAGATGTTGCCGGAGCCGCCGGTTTGCGACGGCAGCTCGATGGGGACGCTCGACAGGTTGATGACGGCGTCCGAGGAGCTGGCGGTGTCGGTGCCGACAGAAGGGAACAAGTTGTCGATCCAGTTGCTAGTTGGCAGAGCCAGCTGCGACGTAGCCGTAGGAAGCGGGTCAGAAGTGGGGAGGACGTCCAACGACGACAAGTCGGTGGGGAGCGGGTCCAACGACGGAAGCGAGTCCGACGTCGGGAGGAGGTCCGATGTCGGGAGGAGGTCCGACGAGTCCGTCAGCGACTCGTCGCAGTATTCATCTTCTTCCGAGGACGAAGACAGCTCGGAGCTCGACAGTTCTGACGAAGAAGACAGTTTCGACGAAGAAGACAGTTTCGACGAAGACAGTTCCGAGGACGAAGACAGCTCAGACGACGAAGACAGCCCAGAGCTCGACAGCTCGGAAGCCGACGACAGCTCAGAGCTCGACAGTTCCAGGCTCAGTTCCGAGCTCGACAGGTCGGTGCCAAACAAGTCGTCGAGGAAGTTACGCGTGCTCGTAGTGGTAGGCGCGCTCGAGGCATCGGTAGTGGCGTCGGAAGTGGCGTCGGAAGAGGTCTCAGTAGACAGTTCTGACGACAGTTCCGACGACGACGACGACGACGACGACGACGACAGAAGGTCGGACAAAGCAGCAGCCAAGGGATTTTGGAGCAGGGTCGAGTTGTCGGCAGGAGTGACGAACTCAAGCAAAGTGTTCTGCGTCTGAGGAGGCGCCGGGGTCGGGGGAGTCGTGGCCCCGGGAGGAACCTCCGTCACCGTGGGCTGGGGACCCTCGATGGCAGTATTAGAGGTACCAGCCGGTTGGACAGCAGCGTTGACGGCAATCCCAACAGAGGCGTCAGCCGCAACACCGGCGGGAGTGTCGGTGGCGGGAGCAGCCGCGGGAGCGGCGGCAGTGTCGGGAGCAGGCGCTACCGCGGGCTCGGCGGCCTTACCAAAGAGGCCATCGAGGAACCCGCGTTTTTCCGGGTTTGCGGCCGCCACCACGGCGGCCATGGCCACCAACGTGGATGAGGCGATGCTTTGGACACGCATACTAGTGCACCGGTGATAGACAACGAAAACGACGTGAATCGGGGCTGAAGCTACCTATATATCACCGTCGTCGTCCATCCTGCTCCTTTGGGTAAACGTTATGTGCCCGTGGTCATGACCATCTGCCCAATTGAGTAGTGTCGCTATGTGTAGGACCGAGAGTCGTCCACCATCAACACCGCGAAAGGCTCAGACAATTCACACTTGCAATTCGCCAGAAACCACACCAATGGCAGTCAATTTGCCGACAGTATTACAATTGCTAGTATCAGAATTATCTACCATCAAACGATGTGCTTGTATCAACCCCTATTTGCCATATTTCACTGCTGAGTTAATAATAGCTCCTAGGCCAAAAGCTATTGACGATTGGGGTAATTCTGGGTGCGAGGAAAATTTCTTTAACTGGGTGCGAACGCTACCCCACGACTAATGCGCGACGCACGTTCGCTGTACCTCGCTGCAGTGCGAAATTACTGAAAACGGCAGTGTACGGGGTGAACTCTAAGTTAACCCTAGTTTACCCTTGCGACGTCTCGGCTAGCGCGCTATTGTCGCTGGTAGATCTAGTCTTGGCGCCATCTGCACACTGGCTAGCAACGTCATGCGGTAGAGCCCATGGGGCGCTTCTGGCTAACCTTATCCTCGGGTCGCCCGGTGAACGGATGCCGCAACGATCATTTACCAGGACACCACCATGCAGCAGCGTGTACAACTAGGACATTCCAACTATAAATCCCTTAGCTTTAACTATTCCACTCTCGACAACTCAAATTCTGTAATTGTCTGAGTGTTTGCGTTTGGTTGTATACGCTTCATCGAAACGGGTAATGGCTTAGTGCGATTGAGAGCCCTCGCAAAGGGGTCGGCAGTTCGTACACCGCAAAGGGAGCCCTAAGGGGCAGCACGTTTATCTATTGCACTAATCCGGACGGAGGCTTCGACCCCGGCTTTCAGTGTCGTTCCCTTAAGCGGGTGATGTCTCTAAAAGCCTAGCTGATGACGCGCCAATCGCTGGGGTTGTGGGACCACTATACCGTGTCTATTGTCGTCAATTAAATTTAGGTCGGGCCCCGGGTTACTACCACCGAATAAATTGGGTTTTTAGTTGCCCTCGTAATCTTAGCTCCTACGAGCCCAAATTGAACTAGTGATACCCAAAGTATATGAAATTAAGGAGCTCATCGAACACTACCACTTATTGACAGTGCTATTGCGAAGGTCTCGGCGTCCCTTCTCGGTTGTATTGACAAGGAAATACAATTATAGCATCGGAATATCACCTTGCCATATTCGCAGCCCGAGCGCTTACAATTTTGTACACAAAATGCTGTACCGTCCCATATGATAATTTCCTTATTAAGGGGTATTTCGAGCCCTCGGCGCTCGTGTATAATTCGAGACCCGGGCGAAGATACGAGCCAAGGTTTGCTTTCCTTCGCGTAAATGGGGGGGGCGATCCTGGGCGATCCTTAGACGGTCGAAGCGACCTGCCGGCATAAACGTTCAAAAATAGGTTTCACGGTGTAATTACGAACAATACCGAGACCACCTGCCACGACGTAGTGTTTGCCTGTGATAGAGCTTTAGCACTTGACACTGTTATCAAGTATAATTTCTATACCTTAGGCGTTTCCGTGGTCTAGATTGACCCATGTTGCTTGAATGTTGTGACGTTCAAATATCCATACCCTGACTGGTGGTGAAGCAACTTCAAGTTTTATGTCTACTTGTTGTAGTGGTGGTTCAGGTATTAATGTATATTTATCTGGGTGGTCATTAATGCTAGTAATACTACAATTGCGCCGCCATGCGCTTCATCAACATGTCGTCGAACATGCGCTTGCGCAACATGTCCCGCTTGGCCACAAGCGACAGGCGCTTGCTCAAGTTGTGCTCGACCTTGGCCTGCACCAACTTCTTCAACATCCGCTTCTGTTGCATGCGCTTGGCCTTGAACTTGGGCAGGCAGCAGCACTTCTTGGCCAGGCCCAGCCCCGAGCCCAGACCCGAGCCCAGCGAGAACACCAGGCCCTTGTTGGCCAGCAGTTGCAGCAGCAGCGACGACAGCAGCAGCGACGACAGGCCCAGCAGCGACAGCAGCGACAGCAGCGACAGCAGCGACAGCAGCGACAGGCCTCCGCCGAGCAACGAGTCGATGATCAGTTCGAAAATGCCCCCGACGAGCGAGCCAAACGAGATGTCGCCCAGAGACAGCGAGCCGCCCAGCGAACCACCAAACAAGTCTTGCAAAAGCTCGCCGATCCAGTCACCGGCGTGGGCGAAAAGCAGCTGGAGCACTTCGCCGACGAGGGAAAGGATCTCGTCGAGCAACGACGACCCGTCACGCGCCACCAAGTGGCCGTCGGCGTCGTAGAAGATCAGGTCTAACAATTGCTCAAAAAAAAAATCCGCCAGCGGCGCATCGCTCAGGTTGCCGGCAAGCAAGTCGCCGAACAAGTCGTTCAAGAGCGTCGAGTTGACGTTTTGCGGGGCGCCGGCGAACAACTCGGGGAACAAGTCGTTGAGCTTGTTAGCAGCAGCAGGAGCTTCGGTAGCTTGAGGCTTTTCCGCCACGGCAGTCAGCGACACGCCCAACTGAGCGAAGATGTCTTCGTCGTCAGCCTTGGCTTCTTCCTTCTTGGCTTCCGTCTTGGCTTTCTTAGCTTCGGCTTTAGGTTCTTCAGGGACCTCGTCGCGCTTAGTCGACTCAGTAGTAGTACCAACACCGGCAAACAAGTTGTTCAACAAGTCGCCGATGGGGTTAGCGTCGGCGTCGCCTTCGCGCTTGTTCAAGCTGCCGAGCACCGAGTCCATCAACAGGTTGACCAAGTCGTCGGCAGAGCCAGCGTCGGCGCCAGCGTCGCGCTTGTTCAAGTTGCCGAGGACCAGATCGACGATCGAGTTGACGAGGTCGTTGCCGGCGCCAGCATCGGCGTTGGCGTCGCGCTTGGCGGCGCCGCCAAACATCAGCCCCATCATCCCCTGGATCATCATCTGTTGCATCATGTCGCCCAAGGGGTTAGCCTCGCGCTTGTCGTTGTTGTTGTTGTTGCCGCCGTTGACAAGCGCCAACAACAGGCCTAAGCCGCCCAGCAGCATCACCAAGTTCATCACCTGGGCGCCCACGCCCAGCTGTTGGAGCTGCGCCATGAGCTTCGAGGTGTCCACCTGGCCAAGCACGTTGTGGATGGCGTCTTTGTTGGCTTCGTAGGCCTCCTGGACCTGGGTGATGACCCCGGCGTTGGCGAGCTCGTTGAACACTTGCGACAAGTCGACGTTGGCGTCGGCGGCGGCGCGGGCGGTCAGCGCCATCGCCACCACGAGCGCCACGGTATTGGGGAGGGAAAGCTTCATGGTCGGGTTGTGATGACGGCGCCGGAGCGTGATTGTGTGGTTATATACATCGCTCGTTGTGGGGTTACTTTTTACTAAATTGGGACTTGTATCCTAATGAGGAAAGAGCTGTGTGCGCACCCAGCAGCCTCAACAGTAAGCGGAACAAGCGAGAAATGAGGTGAACTACGTACAAATTTGAGGTTATTAGCAACCGAATGGCTTTTTATAACGTTTAAAATGGTGGTAAAGTAGTATCAAAGCCCTATTTCCTCGTTAATTTCGCCTATTTGGCGCCGGGGAATGTGTTGCTGTGACCGTTTCTGTGCGCGGACTACGAGCCCTGGCATTGTTTAGATTCACTTTCACGACGATTTCATCGAGGGTGGCCCCATCACAAACACTACCCTAACTACACGCTAATGGTGATAAAATGATATCAGATTATGTGGGGTGATTATGGTGATGGTAGCGAGTCACGTGATATTCTTCTTTAAGCCTAATAAGCCCATTTAGCGCTAATTTATCCACCGTTTTGTTTGTCGTATAAATACGGACATAAAGGCACTCCAACTAGCAATTTGACCCTCGGCCGGACGTTTGTGTTTATGTGCAGGATGCGGCGTACGGTTTCAGGTTGGCGAACGCGGGGTAAGGTTTCCTTAATTAGAAGTGTTACGGCTGCAAAACGTACAAAACGAAAATAGTGTCATTAAAACTCACGTAGAAATATACTACTGCTAAACTAAAACCCCTTAGCGAGGGCTTACCGGTGGCGTCGAGTGCGGCGGGGGCTGGTGAGGTCGACGGTCTCGTCTTCCATCCCCACCAAGTCCATCTTGAGATTGGCAGGTATCCGCAGTTGGCCAGTCAGATTGTTCAGCTGGTTCTTGGTCTCCTTCTTCACTTTTGGCTCTTTCTTCTCCTTCTTTTCCTTCTTCAGCTTAGGCTCTTTCTTTTCCTTTTTGTCTTTCTTCACCTTGAACTCCTTTTTCACCTTTGGCTGTTTCTTTTCCTTCTTCTCTTTCTTCGCCTCCAGCGACGGTTGTTGCTTCGGCCGCTTGATGTATGATTCCGGTCTCGTGGAGACGTTGGCAAGAGAATCGTCGGACTCGACGTCGTCGTTAAAGTCTTCTTCGGCATAATCGTCGTCACCAGTAATTGTAGGCTTTTCGAGGGCGGCATCAATGGCTTGGTTAATTTCCTTTTCGTTGGCTGCATCGACATCATTCATTACGATATCTTCGTCGTCGTCGTCGAGAATTTCCTCAACCACAATATCTTCTTTCAATTTGACATTGACTTCCTGCTTGAATTCGTAAACCACATCTTCATCCCCTTCTTCTTCTTCAATTACGATTTCTTCTTCGTCGTCAATTTCCACCACTTCGTAGTCGTCGATGACGTCGTCCTCGTCGTAATCTTCATCCTCACCCAATTCCGCCAATTCACGCATCACCTGTTCCTCTTCGGCGAGCTCTTGAGGCACTTCTTGTTGCAATTGGCGTTTAACCTGGGCCCGAGCCGCCAGCTCTTCTTTCCGCATCCGCAAATCGTCCTTCAACACCGAGCGGTATAAGTCGCGAGCCTCTTCTCTCGCCGCTGACCGCAACACCCCGAGCGCTTTACCGTAAGTGTACACCCGGTTGTAGTGGCGTCTCAACACTTTCACTCTGGAGTACCGTAGGCCCAGGCGGATGCGAGCCCAGGCGTCGTACACTGCCTCGACTTCGTCAAACACTTCAAAGAGCTCATCTAAGGGTTTAATCCGAACCACGATGTATTTATCGCCCAACAGCTTTTTGGCAATGTGGACAAACAAGTGGCGGTCGTATTCGCCAGCGACAAGACAACGCACGGCGTGATTGATCGTTTTAAGGCGGAAATCGTCGGGGTCGCGGTTGCCGTTCCAGTAAAACTTCTCCCACAGCTCGAGGGCCCGGAGCGGGTTCCCCACCTGAAGCGACCGGCGCTTGATCATCAAGAGGTTCTGGCGGAAGTCGAGTTTGCGGTTGATGGGGAAGAATTCGTTCAACTTCAGCCGGCGGTCGGCGTCGGTGGCCTCGTCGGCGAGCTGGCGCTCCAAGGCGGCGAACCACTCGACCAGCCTCGGGGCAATGCGGGGGACCTTGATGTTGTCCGGCACCTGCACTTTCCGCAACTGGAAGCGGTCGTATTCCGTCAAGAAGCCCGTCATCGTTTGGTGGGAGGTGCGGTGACGTTCGGTAAACATTGGCGGGGTGCGAACGAGCCCTGTCTGGGGCAACCAGCGATCCAGGAGTATTGGGAGGGTTAAAACCAAAAAAGAGCTAATACTAATAATCTGTAGAGAATGGGGATGTGGTGTGGTGTTTTTTGATCATATTTTACGCGTTTTGGGTGGTATTGTTGGTGGGTTTCTCTGATATTTCTCACATTTGTTATGATCGCAACCGTGATGACTTGCCCTGAAATGGGTTGATGATTTGAGGATTCGAGTAAATCGATTATGAGATACCTAGGTTTATATCAGAAATCAATTGCATTCTAACGGGTAAGTTCAAATTCAATTAACGAACATGTGGCTTCGACTTCACACAAACAATAGTTGGGCTACACAAAATGAGTCAAAGCCGCTCACAGTAAGTAATCTATCCATGATAGCGAACTACTCATTTTCTTTTACGAATGTCACCATGTAAAATAGAATTATACAGATTTAGATTTCTTTCCATTCAATCGACTCTGTCATTGAATCATCATTCTAGTTTATATCGTTTATGTCTCCCTATTTTTGATCACTCCCTCGCCTCCCTATTTGTGCGAGGGTGTGCGCCCCAGTTGCACCACCGATGAGACCGTCGCTCACTTTACTTGTGCGGCCCCGGCGGCCCGTACGCGACACTCCGCCGCTATTACCGCCACTCCAGCTCTACCGTCGCATCCTCAGAGCCCACGCTAAGCAGCTCCCGCCCGATATGCGCTACTTGGGCGACCTGTACGTCAAGGCCGAGTTCAAGCTGCACAAGGACACCGACAACCCGTTGTATATAGTTGGTTTCCTTACTCAGTGGCAGGACTACCTCCGCCAGCTTGACACTGGTGAGTGGGCCCAGGGGAAGATGCTGAAGCACGACTTCGACAAAATGCTGCCGGAACAGGTGCACCAGTTGTATGAGCTCATGCAGGCGACCCAGCTGATCGGTGAAGACGACGATGCGGGCGACAGTGGTCCCGTCCCCGTGTCGAAGTAAATTACTGAAGATATTCACCAGATGTGTGTGTACTTATAATGTCTATAAACCATGGAAAAATGTGTGTGTCACGGGGCCTCTCGCGCACGTGCTCTCTACAACCCCTTGCCGTAGTTGCCCAGTTCAAAGAAGGCGAAGATGATGGCAATGATCTTTTCCAACGCCTCCAACCACTCGAGCAACTGGGCGTTGACTTTAGCCTGGTCCGCCCCCAACTTCTCGAAGAAGTCCTTGCGGTAAGGGCACGCGTTCATCGCCAACTTGAAGATCGGCTTCACCAACATCCCGTGGTACTTCGACAACGTCTTCAGGTAGGCGTCGGTGAACGCCTTGGTCAACTCGATGCTGGGGTTGTCGACGGCCTCTCTCATCGCCTGGGCGGTGAATTGCAACCCGCGGCACAACCACAAAAGCCCCTGGGTGGCGGTCTTCTTTTTCTCAGTAACTTCACTGAGAATCAACCCTTGAAGAGTGTTGGCCTTGGGGTCGGCAAGCATCTTTTTCGACACCTTTTCGATGTTGCCGTTCATGTCGGAGGTCACGGGGGAGAACGCCGTCGACCCGAGCAAGTCGAACAACTTGACGAGCCCGCGGGACGCCTCGACGAACTCCGCGGTCAGGATCTGCTCGTCGGCCACGGGGACGGTGGAGTACAGCTTGATTTCGTCGAAGAAAGTGGACATTTGGGGTAAGGTGAGCGAACACGTCAAACGGAACCCGCGTGCAAAAAGGGTGCGCGTCCCCGGGCTCATAAGAGGGAGGTGGTCACTACCACAGATTGCAAGCCTATTGCGGAAGATCGATCTATATCGGGCAAACGGTGATTTGTGCATCAATGATCACCGTCTAAGGTAACTATTCATCACTTCAAATATTGATTTCCTTCAAATACTGGTCCTGTAAGACGCGTCTCATCATTCACTTAGCTAGCGTTGTGAAGGACAACCTTGCTCGTATATTGTATTTTGTGAGGGAAGAAGGTAGTCGATAGTCGTGTATAGTGATGATTACGTAACCCTATCTAAGAAA